TCGACACCCATATTTTAGTAAAAAAAACAAAAGATTTACGAAAAACACGTAACATGAATAACTTTGTATTCTTAAGGGTTCGACGAAATTACTATCAATCCTTACAAATACTAAATACATTTCTATATGTTTTAACCATTTTGATATAATAATAAAATAAAAATCCTTTATTTTAGGTTACGTATTCCATGTTTTTTAAACTTTGAAATTAACGTGGAACACTTATTCTTCCGCATGACCTTTTCGATGTTTGTAAACACAATGACGATAAGGCGTTGCACTACTTCTGAACGATTAAAACAAAAATTCCACACAACATTCATAAAACGTATTGATTCGTCTCAGCGATAACACACTTTCACTACTAACATATTTTAACAGTAAAAGTCCTAACTTAAAAATAGGTAACAAATACAATAGTTACGTATCGTCGAATAAGTAGGCGGTAAAGGCAAGAGTATATTATTTTTAGTAACCAGTTCACCGCTATTTTCTCTAGCTTTAGTTATTACAATGGAAGATATTAGTATGCAGAAAGTCCCCGAGGGGACGGCCCGTGTGCGGGAAGACCCGAAAGTAGGAAACATGTTTGAATCATTATTCATTAATTATTAATTTAATCCTACCTTTTTTGGTGGCATAAAATGTTTGTTATTTTATCAAGACAAATGGATACTCTTTGATGTCAGAAATTACATCAAATATAAAATTACGTGAATAATAATTTGCAAAACTCGTGCTGTGGTTTTCTACGGCAATGACACTTTCATTGCCACATATTGATATCCCTCATATACTCTTTGAAAAAAAAACAGAGACAAAACAATCATCTGAATACTAATATCCTCGCAGTGAAAGCCCACAGTATAGTCAAACAATCTTATCTGGCCTACTGAGAGGCGCTGCTATCACGGCTAATTCTGTCAGATAATATGTAAAGAGAATGGCTATAAAAAACACCTAACATTGAAGCCACGATACGAAAAGGATCTCGTGACACTTTTTTGATATTGACAGGAGGGCGCTAGTGTGCTATGATAATAAAATTGCACTTAATTTTTCGTACGACACTATGGACGTAACTATCATAGTTACGTCCTAGTGTCTATTAATAGCTATTTAGTTATCTTTTAAAGGAGATATAGTATTGGCCTTGACTCGAAATTCTATCTTAATCTAACTCGGTCGAAACTTAGACAGCCTTATTAAAAATTAAGACACAGATGTATAATATTTATTCAATTGGCAAGAGTCATTTAACGCGAGAGATGTTCATTTAAGTCTATAGAATTAGTTAAATATGATAAAAAACAAATCTTACATTATAATCATTGAATAATACAACAAACAAATGAAAATGTAGAGAAAGATTTTAACTTAAGAATGAATTCTTAACGCGAGTTCTCACTGAAGAAATACAACTACTTAAACATATGTTTGTTTGTTTGTCCAAAGACAATTACAGCAGTTTAGCCTGAAGGTGGCCTAAATTAGTCCTATTCCCCTTCTTATCTTATTCTTTTCAGTAGGGAAAGTGGATTTGAGGAGAGTAGGCGTATAGGGGACGCATCTGCAAATCCAGATGTCTACTGGCAACGATCACTTCGCTATTTTGGCGAATTCAAGTGGCCGTTACCTTAGTTTTGCTATAAAAAGAGTAACGAAAATATCTTTATAAATAGGAAATTTTATACAAGTGTTATGTAACAATTACACCTACCTCTTAGTTCGCACATGGCCACAATCAATAATATAAACACGTAGCAAATCCTCAAATTCATTTTCTTAATAAAATGTAATCGGCTGATATAACACTTTAATCGCCAATGTACACACACACTATACGGTTTTATTTTTTTAAAGATAACGTTCAAGTATAGTGAAGTTTGCGTTTCGTATTTAAATAAAAACTACTTTCCTTAAGTTAGCTGTTTATAAACGATGTGGTATCGGACTGAGAAATTTACGTTTTGCCTCTCTGTCACTCCGTGCAATCAAACGCTGCGGTTTATACATACACGTATATGCATAATCGATTAAAAAACTATTCCAACTAACGTCAAACATACCCAACATGTGAATTTACATGTTCTAATTAATTACGTACTCAAAAGATATCCCTGTTATAACTAACGACAAATATAACATAAAATAAAATATTTTGTACAACACTTATGTGTTTGTAAGTAAGTTTTATTTTTCTATCTATTTTAAAACAAAATTGTTGATTGAAATAGTTAAAAATATCCAGTTAAATAACGCCTACTAGATTTCAATAGCACATTTTATTTATTTCATTTTTTATCTGAAACAATCGTTTTATGATTTCAAATAAATTGAAATGTCCAATTTCGTTTTTATACCACACAAATATCCGTTTATTGAGGAATATAATTATTACTAACCAATATAAAACGTAGATTCCATTAAAATAAAAACGTATATACAGTACATTTTACTCTACCTCTGTTTAAGATTTTGTGAAATTATCTTTAGAATAGTAACAATAAAATAAATGTTCTCTAGTTACTTATATTACTGTATTAGCAATAACCTCATGCACTCAGAGGGTCAAGGTCAAACCTCAAATTCGGCAGGTCATTGACCGGTACATATAATTAAAGGACGGAAACAACACCCGTCTTCCTCTGAAATCATTTTGTCCAAGACAATGAGACGCATGCAACTCTATGGAACTACGTAATTATACTAATTTGGGTATCAATTCACATAAATAAAATCAAATAACATAATTAATACGAGTCAAATGTTTAATACGATTACTGGTTAACGATAATAATGAATAAATCTGACTGTAAGTCTTATGGACAATCTGGGGAAAAATACTTTAAAAAAAAATCCCATACATATAAAAATTAACGTCTTTGCAGTTGGGTAAAGACATATGCGCTAAAAGCACAACCCTATCGTGTCAGTCGGGACAAACACATTATTATTTCATCATATAAGTTTTGTAATTCGGTCAGGATTTTACCTGCACCTTAAAAATCACCCGTCCTCATAAAATTTGTATACAATTAGTTAATTGTTAACTAAAGTAACGCAGCGATCCGTGTACAATTGCATACTTTTATTTGGACAACAGAAAAAACTAACGATATTGTTAACATTGGCTAATTAATATCGAAGTATAATTTGCATCCAAAAATGAACTTAGCACTGTGAGTTTTAACTCGTACAACAAAAAGCCTACATACAAAGATTTTTATAATAAAACTAGCTGTCGCCCGCGACTAAATCGCCGGATTAAAAATAGATGTTGGCCGATTCTCAGACCTTCTTAATATGCTCACAAAATTTCATGAGAATCGGTCAAGCCGTTTCCGAGGAGTATGGGAACGAAAATTGTGACACGTGAATTTTATATATAAGATAGACAAGCAAATGTTAGCAAATAACTTTATATATAGAAGTTTGGAACAATAATGATGCTAACTCTACAAAAATTAATTATTTAGTTCGTTAGTCGTCCGGACGTCACGTTCGCCTTCGAAGCTCGCATTGTTTGATGAAAGTTTAATTGCCCCCCCCCTCTCTCCGCCGCCCGCCGCCAGCCCCTCGCCCACGTCCATACTCTGTTTCGATATACCCACTAACTACAAACCTTTCCCTTTCTTTACCAATGAAGTCTCAGGTTCAAGCTTAGCGCTTAGCTCGTCCCCGCGACTCCGTCCGCGCGGATTTACAACAAGAACAAGTAATAACCAATTAACAACTTTGAGTACGGCAAATTGAGAGACAGTAACAAAACTATCTAAATTTACTTAGACCAAACATTCGTGATTGTTCATAAAATCAAAATCTTACTGCTCAATCATTATCTCATCTGGTGTTATGTGACGCTTCAAAATTTAAGTTAAGGACGTTAATGAACACTATTTTTATAGAGATGATAAAACTAAAAATAAATTCAGTTTTCGTGCAAAATGCTGGCTAGAGACAACTTTAAATAAGTAATGGGGTAGGCCTTCATAGTGCTTCTAAAATATTGAACGTCTCACAGTTTTATAGCCTATACCGTTAAATTACTATGGTCCTTTGTTGAAACAGGAGTATATTTTTAAAATCGTTTAGTTTTTATTAATTCCAGTTTAATTGATTTAAATACAATAATTAATATTAAATACATTATAATAACCCGTAAAAGGTAAATTGGCACAATATATTATAATATGTCTTACTATGAGTAAAAAGTATAATGACATTAAAATTTCACATGTTCTGTTTTAGTTCATAGCAAGAGTGTCAGGACCGTGCCAAATGGAGGCCCGTGGTCTCTGCCTACCTCACTGGTTTACGTGTGTGAGTTATGATGTTGTGGTTTTTATTTTATACTTGTCGTTACGTATTGTTCAAAATCGAGTACAATTCTCAACGATTTTTTTATAAAACATAATATTTTAATTTTCAATTACTAATACTTTAACTTTCAACTGTTCGCGCTTAAAAAGGAAAACGAAGTTTTCGGTTTACGTAATAATATAATTATCGAAGATACTATACTTTGAAACTTTTATTTGCCTAAAGTAAAACGTTTAAAGTCAAACATTTGATTTGGTATTAATTAAAAACTTTACAAAGTCACTCGTAAAGTTTGAAGCAAATTAACATATAAAGGGGATTTTTGTTTATCTAAACCACAAACCGCAATATATATTGAAATGAATACAATGTACGTAAATGTGAAAAAAAATGTTTATCTTGTTTACAATGCAACATCCAAAGTCTATCTCTTTAAATAAAATCGTGTTTTATTTCGGAAACAATGAGGAATCACATAACGACATCTATCGCACTTTGCATTAATCATCCAATGAAAACAATGCAAACCCGAAGATGGCAATGTTTATTTCATTGTTATTTTACTAATTACCTACTTACAATACTGACGCAGCGACCCAAGTTGAGTCTTGGCCTCCGAAACAAGAGAGAACTTGCGCGAAATCTGACGCAACCCTTCCCCTTCTCACCTTTCACTTTTCTCCGTACACCGGGGACCCAACCTATATTTTCATTAATCACCATCAACGGAGGAGGAGACGCACAGAAAGAAATTTTCACACCCTATACGTTTCCTTCTCCGTCATATCCACTTCCCTTCTCATCCTTCCCTTATAAGATAAGGGTGGGAAAGGAAAATAATTAAAATTAGGCCTCCGGCACGCACACTAATCAGAAGAACCGCGAAATTACTTTCACTTGACGCCCGTCTCCTGTGTGATCGTGGAATATCACCGGGCGTGCCGGCCAATTCATGCAACAGATGTTGTTAAGCTTGGTTCATACACAAACATGCTTAATTATTGTCGGGAGGCGACTGGCGTTAGACTTACATTCGCACATATTGTTGTCCCTTTATTTTTAAATTAAAAGAAAGGGATGGCAATATGTATGATTTAAAACACTTGTAGTGTGTAAACAGTGCAGTGTAGTTTTACGGTCACCCTAAATGGGCTTTACTTTGCTGTACGATACTCGATTTTAACTGGGAAGTGAATTTAATTCTTTGACATAACTTTTATGATACAAAGGATAAAATGATTCACCGTGTTTGCAAGTCGAGAATATTCTCTTCAAATATATTACGCCACAGGCAATAAACGCATTTATTTTGAAACGAGTTTGCAATAGAATACGTTGTACGGAAATAGAAAACTTTGATTGGTAATGCGGCGTTCCATTAGGTCTAATAGAATATTTAAAGCAGATGCGCAGCATCTATCAGTCTATGTTTCATAGCCTATATTTATAAAATTACCTCTGATTGCTACACTCAGAGTGTTTAAGTGATCCCCATAAATGTACATATTTGCTAAAAGAGGAATAATAATAGTTTCATCAACATCTTAATTATAAAACAAAAACCCTAGTAAATGCATACTATAACAGTAACGGAGAGAATATGAATCGAATGACACGTCATTTGTCAAAATCGATTCATTTAGCCTGCTCAAGGTCACAAATCACAATGGAATCAGTACACACACAAACCTACATACATAAAAACATACATATGCGAGAAAAACATTACGATTCTGTGTCAGTCGGATAAAAACAGCACTTTCCTGCCTTCCTTTTGAGATAAAAAAGTAAACAACAAAAATATCAGTTGTTGTTCATTGCAATATCGAATGATTCATGTTATTTTTTGCAACAAGGAGGGGTTAATTCCGACTGCGCTTAAATAGGCCGCCCGTTCTGTGTCCTGTTTAGTCAACAGTGATGTTTCAAGACTTTATATTAACAAAAAAATGATTTCTTTTATCGAAATTACTGTTCTTGCGTTACTTTGTACTGTTAGCGCATCTGTGCTGGTCAATGTATACAATGATGGTAAGTTTATAAATATATTGTCCCGAAAAATGAATAAGAAGACAAAGGAAGATCGGCAATCGATGTTTCCGTTTAATTATACGCAGTTTATGAATACAATAAAATATGTTTACCTTTTTTCAACCTCTGTTGTTTACGAACATTATAAACATTTTGTGCGCACAATCTCGATTATCATTGCATGATTTTACAGACAAACAGTCAGTCAAAAATTTTAATAATTGTTATTTTGGTATAAATTATTTTCGCGAATTACTTTTCACGATATTACAACGAATCTCTAATTTTACTAATAGTATCGATTAGTGTTAAAAAACTAACTTTTTATCCAGGTGCGGTAAAGAACAAAGTCAATGACGAGAAGGCGGAAAGTTGCGATTCGAACACATGCAGTAATATTTGCCATGCACTGGGATTCGATACTGGCACTTGTCATGGCGATGTTTGTGAATGCACTCAGAGACTCACCAAAACCGGTACTTAAAAATATTGTAAACATGAACCTAAATCATTGTAAGTCGCTACGATAAAAAAGGCGACTAAACAACCATCGACAAGCTTACCGTAGGTCTCTGAAATCAACATCTCTGTATAAAACATATCGTTGTTCCTGTCATTGTCTTTAATCAGAGACATCAATATGTTTGAAACGGGGACTTTCGTCTCGGAAACCTACAGTTAGTCATGGTAAGATTATTTTTAACCGTAGATAAAATTCTAAAAGTTTTTTTTCAGATGTTGAATCATGGATAAAAAATAAATTGAAGAGTTGCAGCCCCCTCGGATGTGACCAATCCTGCCGTCGCATAGGATTTCCTGGTGGCGCCTGCGTCAATGGAAATTGCAAATGTGACATTTTAAAGAATAATACCGGTATGATGTAACATTATTAATCTTACTTTTATTATAAATACGAAAGTTTGGATGTATGGGTGGACGAAAAAATTATATTTAGAATGTATCTACAGAACAGTTCAACGGATATCTACATATAAAATTTTGCATAGATGAACAACATAGTCTGGAAGAATATATAGGTTACATACAAAGTTTTTTATAACGCCCAGCAGACGGAGTCGTTAGGCTTAACCTATTGATATTCAAAGAATGTACGCATTTCATGACATCAATAAAGTAACAATCTTTAGATAGGGAGTTCAAATCTAGTAATTCTAATTGTTGTAAAAAGGCTTTGAAGATTTATGACACTGCACGTCATTTAGGTCGAGTTGAGGCAGCCTCTAAAATATTTATATAATAATATTCATTATTTGCGTGTTAGAAATAACGCCAAGTAAAGCCTTAATGATGGTTAAGTACTTAACACGAATATGATTTTTCTAATACCGAAGTCTCAGATAAATCAAAGCAACTCAGTGGCTGTAATCCCCGAGACTGTGACTGGTGGTGTAGACGAAGTGGTTGCTCTGGTGGCCACTGCGCACAAGGAAGATGTGAATGTGATAGACAGGACAATAACAACGGTATTAAATATTCTTTATTAAAATATTTAAACTAGTTTCAAGTAAGTGATAACACTTATAATTATGTTATTTTCAGATAATGAAGTCTTAAACGAATCTAAGCAACTCAGTGGCTGCAGCCCACGAGACTGCGACTGGTGGTGCAGACGGCAAGGATACCATGGTGGCGACTGTGAACAAGGAAATTGCAGATGCTACAGACAGAACTTTTTAAAAGGTACTCAATATTAATGCTACCTAAAATGAATATTTTTAACTGGTGTACTGAGACACTTATCAAAAAAATGGAATAGGTACGCCATTTAAAACTACAATATTTTTAGATAACGAAATCTTAGACGAATTTAAGCAACTAAGCGGCTGCAATCCACGAGACTGTGACTGGTGGTGTAGAATTAGAGGATACCATGGCGGAGACTGTGAACAAGGAAGTTGCAAATGTTACAGCCGGCACTATGTCAACGGTAAACAACATTAATGCTTCCTAAATGGAATAAGTTTTATCTGTTGTATTAAGACACTTATACGTCACGAAAGGAGTCCGTCAGTGTATATTCACATAAGCGTATCTTCACCAACAATAAAAAAAAATAGTTAGAACAGATACGACATTTAGTTAATTTAAGATAGTTAATTTAATTTTCAGACAGCGAAGTCTTAGACGAATCTAAGCAGCTCAATGATTGCAATCACCAAGAATGTGACAGATGGTGCAGACGGCAAAGATTCGATGGTGGCGACTGCATACAGGGAAGATGCCAATGCTACAGACGGAATTATTCCAAAGGTATACAATGTTAATGCTACCCAAAATGAAATGTTTTTAACTGCTGTATTTGGGCACTTATTAGTCACCAGGGGAATCCGTTGGTGTATATTATTATATGAGAAACCTTCACCAAAAATTAAAAAAAATTGGTAGAAGAGATACGACATTTAGTGATATTTTTAGACAACGAAATCTTAGACGAATCTAAGCAACTCAGCGGCTGCAATCCTCGAGACTGTGACTGGTGGTGCAGACGGAGAGGATACCATGGTGGCGACTGCGATCAAGGAAGTTGCAAATGCTACAGACAGAACTATGACAACGGTAAACAACAGTAATGCTTCCCAAAAAGTATATTTTTTAACTGCTGTATTTAGAGAATTATTTGTCACGAAAGGAGTCCACCAGTGTATTTTCATATAAGCGTATCTTCACCAACAATAAAAAATAGATGGAACAGATACGACATTGATTGATATTTTCAGAAAACGAAGTCTTAGACGAATCTAAGCAGCTCAATGACTGCGATCACCAAGAATGTGACAGATGGTGCAGACGGCAAAGATTCGATGGTGGCGATTGCATACAGGGAAGATGTCAATGCTACAGACGGAACTATTCCAAAGGTACATATATTCATGTATGAGAAATCTTCACAACAAATTATAAAAATTGTTAGAACAGATACGACACTTAGAACTATATTTTCAGATAACGAAGTCTCAGAAGAATCTAAACAACTCAGCGACTGCAATAACCAACAATGTGACAGATGGTGCAGACGTAGAGGGTTCCATGGCGGCGACTGCATACAAGGAAGCTGCCAATGCTACAGACGAAACTATTCCAAAGGTATAAAATATTAATGCTAGCCAAAATAAATTGTTTTTATCTGTTGTACTTTGATACTTATTGGTCACAAAGGGAGTCTGTCATTGTATATTTATTTATTAGAAATATTCACCAAAAATTATAAAAATTGTTAGAACAGATATGACACGTAGAACTATATTTTCAGATAACGATGTCTCAGAGGAATTTAAGCAACTCAGCGACTGCAATAACCAAGAATGTGACAGATGGTGCAGACGGAGAGGGTTCCATGGCGGCGACTGTGTACAGGGAAGATGCCAATGCTACGGACGGAACTATGTCAACGGTATACAATGTTAATACTACACAAGATAATCTTACTAACATTATAAATGCGAAAGTTTTGACGGATAAATGTTTATTATCACGTAACTCTAGAACAGCTAAACGGATGGGAGTGCAATTTGAAATAGGTTTATTACAGACTAGAGTAACGCTTCGCTTAAGTTTCTTTTTAAATTCCTCACGGACATAGTCGCGAGCCGCAGTAGTATTTTATAACGGTTTCACTCCGTTCAAAGTCTTCATTATTATAAAGTAAGTTTCGAGTAAATACTAAGCCAGTCAATAACCACTAATGTAGATTAAATCTTCACAAAAATATTAAACTAATGCCAAGTAGGTATTGCGTTAATGTTGATTCTAAGTACTCATAACAGATGTGATATATTCAGATAACGAAGTCTCAGACGAATTTAAGCAACTCGGTGGCTGCAATCCACAAGAATGTGACTGGTGGTGCAGACGTCAAGGATTCCATGGCGGTGACTGCGGACAGGGAAGATGTAAATGCTACAGACGGAACTATATCAACGGTATGCAACATTAGTGCTACCCAAAAAGATTGTTTTGTAACTGTTGCACTCAGTCGATTTAAAGCGACCACTGCAGCAATTTTTTTCATTATGGCTCTCCCTTTGTGGATTGAACAAGATTCAAGTAAATACTCCGACATTTATTGATCACTGAACGAAATTTGTGTTACTAAGAACTAAATCGTTTAGTGTAAAATATTTAAACTTTATATTTATAAATATCATTATATAGATCTAGAACCAAGCAGGTAATGCCTCAGGATGTCGTCCCATTTCTTAGTAGGCTATTGAGGTCCTCTACCACCAAATAGCCTTTTGATCCGTCCAATAAGAATCAAACTGTAAACCCTTGATGGTATTGAATACTTATCTCAGGTATCATGTTTTCAGTCAACGATATCTCAGACAAATCTAAGCAACTCAGCGGCTGCAATCCACGAGACTGTGACTGGTGGTGCAGACAGCAAGGATTCCATGGCGGCGACTGTACACAAGGAAGATGCAAATGCTATAGACAGAAGAACATCGATGGTATGCAATAGTACTGCTAATCAAAAAAAAATATTTTATAGCCGCTTAGTTCAGTTAATTTCATTATGGGAGAGCCTCTTTGTGGATTGGAGTAGTTTCGAGTTAACACTCAATCGAATATTGGACACTAAGGGACTGCTTTTACTCGTAAGTTAATAGGTTGTCAGTTTACTTTTAGGAGAGAAAAATAAGGATAAGCACAGTGCATGCTTATCATTGTGTGCACGTTTTATCTGATCTCTATTTGCTCACTGAATGCTTTTTTATCGGTTAACTGATAACAAAGCATATGTCATTGCATACGCAAACCCATTTTTACAACAACTGTAATTATTGTGGGTTTACCTTGTCGAAACATTTGTATAAAAAGATTTTTCAAGAGATATAACAGAGATGTCAATATGCGTGTCATTTTAGGTCCTATGGTGCATATATCAGGAGTAATATTGCAAAATAAAAAATAAAATTAAAGGTCAGTTAACATTGTGCAGTTAAAACTGCACAATGTTAACTGACCTTTAAGTTAAAACTAAAGGTGTGACCGGGCTTAAGTATAAATTGTGCTTGGTAATATTGGTTTAACTCTTGTTCACAGTCAACTCTAAAACCTCTAAGAAGGTAGGAGAATGTGATTCTGGTACGTGCAACATGATGTGCATTCAAATGAACAACCAAGGCGGCATGTGTTTGGGTGACGACTGCAAATGTTATTAATTATATTATAAGAAGAGATCCATTATGGTTATTTGAAGAAAGTTAATCTTAAAATTATATCAAAATAAATAATTTGTATATTCAAAATGTTTCCTTCTTTTCCTGTTTATGAAGCTAATTTAATACTCAAAGCAATTTTTCATTGAAACACTTGAAACAAAACAAACATATGTATATAGCGCGGACGGAATTTTGCAACAATATTTAACACAATATTTGTAGAGCTACGTAAATACAGAAATCTTACTAATATTATAAATTTGAATGTTTAGATGGATGGATAGATGTTTATTTGTGCAATATAAAATAATCACAATTAATTAAACTGATGGAATTTTTATAGACCAACGAAACACAAAGCTTACGGAATACCAGCAGATCCTAGAAATAATCTTTATTTAGCAAGCTTTCGCGAGCTTTTTAGTAACTAGGCAGGAATACTTTCAGTATTACCAGAGCCTCTTTTCTAATACGAATAGCTATCTCAAAGTAAATGCCGTATTATTCATTTAAAAATACTAATTACGTAAAAAAAACTTTTTTTAATTTTTAACAAAAATATTCGTTTTCGAAGGTTTATTTGGCACTAGAATAACTATACTGATAAAAAATATGTCAAAGTGAATTCTAAAATATTGGATTTTGTTATAGAAAAAGTTTCGGATCAAAAACTAACTGCCAAAGGATTGATGTATGACGAAAAATATTTCATTGAAAACCGTTGAACGATTGTTAACTTTAGATAGTAAATTACTTTTAAATTTTACTATGTATATATCCTACTAATATAAATGCGAATTATCAAAACTTTAGATAAACGTTAAACAACTTTTGTCGTAGATTAAACGTGTCTTAAAACTGCCGCATGCAAGAAATACGTCTACTTAAATAATATATTCTATTAAACTCCTCAACTTGATTGTTATTTTTATACCGTGGGTTTTCGAGACCAAAAACTCCGTTAAAAATATATTGATATTTTGATCACTATCTTTAACAAAACAAACCGTAATATGTTTTAAACGGAGATTTTGGTCTTAGAAGGCCATAGTAAATCTGTTACAAGTCTCTAGTGGTTCGGAACATTCAAGTAGTCCATAATATTGTGTAATCAATGTAACTAAACAAGTCTGTGCCAAAGTTTTGTTTGATTCAACGACACTTAATGACAAATGAAAGAAGTTTCACCAAGTTTTAATGAAATTCGCAAGTTCTTATTTCCAAATCAATTAGCAAGAAATGACACGTGTCCAACAAACAAGATAGACAAAGTTAAGATATTACTTATTTATTACTTAGTTTTATTAATTGATTCATTTTAGGATATATCTGTATGTTGATATATAATCAACGTAACTAACATAGTCCTCTGACGTCATACCGTCGGGTTTGGGCAGAAGTAGTACAATTTTGTCTCATAGCTAACCCACTTTTTTATTCTAAAGAAGTTAAAGGGTTCCAATGCGACCATACCTCCCTTTAAGTTCTCTAATTAATTATACATCTAATTATCTAAATTACTTGTTAAGCAATAGTCCACCAACTTAAACACCAACATGACGTTGGCCACAACAGCAATAGTAGTAGTAATTTATCCGATTGACATTACACGCAAAAGCCTCAAAATAATTAAGTCATTTGCTTCGGACACACTCCAATACATATTGCATGACCTCTACCACACCACATTCCCAGAAATTATTTAAATCCACTTTTTAAAATATTATCATTCAAATCTCTTTTAATTTTGAAAATGTTCAATTTACTATTACTATTAATTGAATTCAATTGCTTTTATAATTCGTTATGTTACAATATTGCAAATGGCAAAACAAATTAACACGAAACACCCTATGGAGCTTATTTTTCCTCCATTAATTAGTATAAACAAAAATCCAATTAACTTAAAATTATTACTTTATTAACGCAATAAGTAAATTGTTCAAAGTAGATCCGCAACATAGGACTTAGCCACAAAAGCTTGTAATCAGCTATGTTAATTGAAATTTGAAAGTTTACGTTGCGAATAAACGCTTTTCTCTTTGATGAGAGAATATTTAAAGGTTAAAGCAATAGACTAAGGTTTACTTAGAAAATGTTAAATTAATCTATCAATCTAAATGCATTAACACATATATTTTATTATATTTGTAAAACTTAATTAGTAGCCTATGTGTTCTTCCAGACTATGTTCTACATTTATGCTAAATTCCAGCGAGATCCATGCACCTTTTCTGAAGATACCTTATAACAAACATCCATCCATCTAAACATTCGCATTTATAATATTAGTGAAATCTCTTCTGGGAATATCCAAAAATAATTCGAATCTCTCATTTTAGTTAATTAAAATGTAAGTTCTAAAAGATGTAAAATTTAGCTTAAATTATTTTAATATTATAAGTTTCATATAATGAAACGACGAAATCAAAACACTTTATGTAATTAATAATATTAGACAATTTTAAAATAAAATATGGTTTAATGACTTCTGTTTTCTAACTACACTACGAACACCAACACGTAAATTTAGTAAGCAGGTAAATTATTATTCTTCACCCCAATTGGTCTTAACAATTAAAAAAACTAATCTAGAAATAAATGTAGTATATGTCACTCGACAACAGTATAGCTTCCCTACAGTGAAAACTTTTTTCAAATCGGTTCAATAGTTTCGAAACCCATTTAACGCAAACAAACAAATAAAATTTATAGATAATTTTAAGAAGAAAATGATATTACATCTCATCGCGATATGTAGGCGAGCTTCTTATTTTCCTTTAAATATTACTCAAAAATAAGTTTTCTATTAACATTGGTCCCCGTCTACCACTCCGTCTGAAGGTAACTACACAAATGAATCTCGAATAGCGAAAGGATTTCTCGGAACATCCCGTGGGATCTTACTTATTATTCAGATTCTGCAGAGAATTTGTGTTATTTATTTCATAAATTCAACTTTCTTACTTCAATGCTTCGCTTAATGTATAAATAAATTTACGTTAAGTATTTAGTATTACATTACTTAAATGAAATTGACTTCATTTTTTAAGTGTAATTCTATGAAAAGGACGTCCTATATATCTAAAACAACGCCTTCTATCGGCATTCTATGAAATTAGTAGGTATTAGTTAGTGATAAGGAAATCTTTGGCTGAATATTAAAATTAAAATAACCAAAATTGTGGTAAGTTTCCATTGTTTTTGAATGCAAGCTACTGTTAAAGTTTTATAAAATATAACAGGTTTCAATTTCTTTGTCATGAAAAAAAACGTATCCACCGATGCCAATAAACAAAAGCCGTATCCGATGAGACTTGCCGTGAAACGAATAAATTTTTAGAACACAATTTGACAGTGTTCCACATCAGTTAATTTACGGTACGTTCCTATAAATCTTTAGCGTAAAAAATTCAGTAGAATTTAAAGACTTACAAAACAAAAATGTCATCAAAATGAAACCTTTAATAAACCAAGTTAGAAAGATAAAAATAATCATATCACTATAGTGCAATGCAAGTGACTTGTTATTTATTTTTTTATAATATATCAAAAGGTGGCAAACGAGCGAGCGGCCACCTGAAATCGCTGAACTAGCGAAGTGACTGCTGCCCATGGACATACACAATTGCATATGCGTTGCCTACCTTTAATCGACGGAGGAGAGGATGCAAAGAAAGAAAACATCTTCCATTTCCATGCATCCTCTCATCCGGAAAGTCCACTTCCACTTCCCATCCGTTCCTTATTAAGAAAAGGATGGGAAGGGAAAGAGGACTAAATTAGGCCTGCGGGACGCACACTCATCAGACGAAACGCGGAATTGCTTCCACTTGACGCCTGTCTTCTGTGTGGTCGTGGTATTTCACCGGGCGAGCCGGGCCGATTCGTGCGAATATGTTAAAGCGGGCTCTACCACTGTTAACCATGTTTTACCATGACTTAGAATATTATTCTTGTCCACTATAATTTGGAATATTATTCCAAGCCATAGTAAAAGTAACCAGTTACAATTATTATCATACAATTTAGTTAGATTTGCCCGATACAATAACTTATCAGATTGGGTAAAGGGATAAAGTTATGGGGGGTGCATAAGCACAAAATTAATCGAAAGGGTTGGGAGGGTATTGTGGGATGAATGTATAGTTTCACATCATTTAAATAAAAGAAAATAAACAACATCTTATGAACTCGTAAATAATAAGGTATGAATTAATAAAATAATTTACTGCACATTTCAGTGGCCTGTAGACTTTGTTACCCATCTTTATTAATTCATGTTGATTTTGCTTTCTTCCTGGTATTTCCTCACAAAAAGCAAAATATTTAACAAAGCCACATCGCCTTCAATTCCTCTCCCTGGCTTGTTTAAATTTCCAACTTCATTATCACGACCACGAATTAAATTTTCTACGTCAATTTTAAATATTTCAATTACCGCCGGGGCTATTTCAACAATCTTTATCAGACGGTGGAATATAAATAGATATTCCAGAAACTGAATTCTCCGAATGAAACAAAAACAATTCTTTATTAATTTTATCTTTATCTTTATGCACTGTAGATACTACTAATACTTACTACACTGCTAAATTATATTAAAAAAAAAAAAAACATTTTATATTTTATTTCTCGATTCTAAATGGCACTTCTTACTATACAAATTACATTAATAGAAAGATGTTTAATATGTATGAAACTAATTTTAAGGACATATTTAGTCTCTTTTGATATATAATAGTCGATGAATAATTTTGTTTGCTTATGGAAATATAAATATTTGACCTCACGATTATTTATAATTCTTAACTATAATGATATAAGAAAAAAGCTCGAACAGTTATAAAAATAATGCCATAAAATTAAGTCCAGAGTTCTGAATGGTTTAAAAATAAGGTATGTACCAATACTAAGCTCGTATCAGACCTTTATTTCCTTAAATTGCAAGGAATTACGTTCGGAATGTTGGTGTGAAGACGCTTTTCGTATAATAAGTGCCCAGAAATAAGAAGCTTTATGGGTCGTAAAGCAAAAGTTATAGCTGAAGCAAGCCGACGGGTCATTTTCGATGGACCTTTACGTCG